CCCTTTCTGCCAGTTTCCACTCAGCCGGTAGGAAAACCATGCAGGAGTGGCCCTAGCGTAGCAGCCCGTGGCTAGAAACAGAACGGGTTCAGAATGGAGTGTAGGGCCCCTTGTTCAGAAACTATTAAGAGGAGCACCTGGGTGGTTCAGCCTATTAAATGTCTGCCTTCGGCTCAGGTCATGATCCCAGAGTCCTGGGATTGAGCTTGTGTTGGGCTCCCTGCTCAGCGGGGAGGCTGCTTCTCCCTCTGCCCCTCACCTCACTCGTGCTTTCTCTCTCTCACTCTCTCTCTAATAAATAAAATCTAAAAAAACCCAAAAAACAAAAAAAGTTAACAACAACAAAAATCTATTAAGACTCTCAAGAGGGAGACAGTGGAAAGAACATGAAACCAGGCATGGCCCTTCCAGCACGTGGCCCTGTGCAGTGGCCCAGGTCGCACACCTGCAAACCCATCTCTGGAGAGAAGGGGCTGAAGTGAGTAGAGAGTTTTCTACTGATCTGGCTGGTATATTTGAAAATCAGTATGTATGTCAGTCAAATTCAGATTGACTGGATTTTATCTGAAAACCTGCCTTGTATGGTAGCCACAGTGCAAATGTTCTGATTTGGTGCCTGAACTCCATGGCAGTGAGGGAGATGAATTCTGTAAACATTCAAACATACCTGCACTCCTACATAAAAGGAAAAAAAATAACTCCACAGGTATTTTGGACGCCAGCCAACCTTAAGAACCACTGGAGAACACGTGGCTGCACTTCCCCCAAAGCACCTGACTCAGTTGTCCGTGAAGAGCCTGGGCCTCTGTAGCAGACTCCGATAGAAAGCCGTAGGTAGTAATTGCCCAAAGGGATTTCAGACCAGCTCCGTGTTCTAGAAGTTACGTGGAGGCGTGCAGGACAGGACTAGAATCACTAGCCTCGAGACCCACTTTTGCTACGCACTATTCAGGGCAAAAATGGTCCCTTGGAAGCAATTTTAGAAGATTTATATTTATTTGAATTCCATTGCTAGAGAGTTTTCCGTCATGGAGATGCACGGTCATGGGCAAATGCAGAGTCCCCTCCAGAGGAGATGGAGAGCCAAGAGGCTTCCCGTTGTAGGTAAAGACTCAGATTCTGGTCCTGCGGACTCAGCGCGTGCTCCGGCTCCCTGCCCGCGGGAGTGGCGGCCCCTGGCCTCAGGATCCTGGTCTGTGTGCAGGTGGGGGGCGCTTCACGGCGCTGTGGCGAGAGGCGAGGCTTGTGCACGCATCAGACCGCGCTGTGGAGGACTGAGCGCGTGTGCGCGTCTGTTCCTAACTCGGAGGGGGAGGGGGGGAGCCGAGCCTCAGGCTGACGTCGCAGGTCGCGTCAGCGCCGCGGTCCTGCAGGCGGCTGGAGTCGCTGTCCCTTCATCGGCGTGAACCGCGGCTCGTCCTCATCGTTAACCCGTTTTGGGTGTCAGTGGCTTGTGTCCTGCGGCAGTGTACTGTTTCCACTTGCACCTTAGCACACGGGAGCGGCTAGACGGGGGTGCGCGGGTTTCCCTCTTCCGGGGATTCGAGATTTCCGAGGACCGGGGCTCACGCGTCCCTCCTGGACGGGTGCGCTTGGTGGGTTAGTGACAGGGACGGTCGCAGGTGGAGGGGAAGGAAATCGAGTACCGAGAAGAGAACGGGGCCGGCCACTTAAGACACTCGGGAATGGGAAGACAACGTTGCAGAGCAGGGACCGCGTCCTGCCCGGCCCCTCCCTGGGGTCCGCACGGCTCGGTCCGCGCTGGGCGCAGAAGCGGCTCCAGGCAAACCGCGAATGACAGGAGAGAAGGGGCGGCTCTAGGCGAAGCCTCCTGCAGGCACGGGCTTCTCAGGTCGCGTTCCCTGTGGTAGAACCTGGCGTGCCCGTCAGCCTTATCAGTGCCCTTACTCCAGGCAGAGTCACCCGACCCTGCCACCCTGGCCATTGTGGAACCGCTGCCCCTTACCCAAGGCCCGGCTCCTCCTCCCGTTCCCGGGGACGGCCCCACGCAGCTCCAGGGCCTCCCAGTTTAATGGCTGCAAGTCCCTAGAAGTGTAGGGTGCGGAAGGGCCACCTTTCGCAGGGATCAAGTATTTGATTCCTGGAGCACGTGGGGCGAAGGACCAGCGGGTGACTGTGTCAGGCCTGGGCCGGCGAGTACGCAGGACCCACTCAGCCCGCAGTGGCCCTGTCCCAGCAGGAGCAACGAGGCCTCTGCTTGGGAAGGTGGCCCTCGTCACCCTGCGGCCGGGGCCCGACGTGCAAAGACCCGGGTCCCGAAGGCTCTGTGGAGTCAGCCGCGGTTGCCGTGTCGCAGGTTTACCGCAGCGTGGGATGCACCGCATCAGGCGAGCCAGTGCCGCCCCACAACACTTAGCACATCTCAGAGGGGACCGAGGCCGGCCGTGTCTGGGAGATCAGCACACTCCAGACGGAGCTGGACAGCCGCCGTGGTCTGACCCCTCCTGCCACACAGGTGGGCGCGGGCACCGGCAGCTCCCTCCTTCCTGTCCGCTGGCCCTTGGGGACCGGCGACAGCGCCTGTTACTGCGAGCTTCCGCACGGAGGAGATGAGGGAGCCGCGCGTCGTCCCTGTTGACTCTGAAACGCAGAGCACTTCACTCGTCACAATTGCTCTTAAATGTCCTTGGATGGTCCCCCCCCCGTCCCCCTCCCCCCTCCCCCTCCCCCCGTAGTCCTGAGGTCCTCAGCCCTGAAGTTCAGAGTTAGCGGGTCCTCCGAGGGCCAGACGCACAGTGACAGGGAAGTGGCATGAACCCTTTAGGGAGCCAGGAGCGGAGCGGTCATTGGCCTTTGAAAGATTCCAATAACTGGATTTTTGTCCCTGATTACTGATGATGTTTTTAATTTGGAGCTGGAGCTGCTCCCTCTGGGAATAAGGGAGCCGCCAGGGCATATGCTATTGTTCTAAAATAGAGTTCAGATTAGATTTTGCCCAAACAGGTACAGAACTGGGAAAACTTGGCTTCTGTTAATGCTATACTTTTGGCAAAATATTCCTAGATTCTTGCTGGCCGTGTTTCCCTTCCGTGAGTTTTACCGTATCCAAGTACCACCTGAGTACTATTTTGCTTAAAACCCATTCAGTTATACTTGAGTAAATTTGTTTTACTCCCATAATTGCAAAACTAGTATTACTTGTCCTAAATTGAGGGTAATAAAATAAATACAGTAAAGACAAAGGTTATTAAATCTAGCTAGGTAGTAATGCTTGCCACAGGTTCTGGGCCCAAGGCCTATATCCCTGTCCTTGAAAGGCAGATTACCCTGGGTGAAGACAGGCTAGCACTGCGCCGAAACTTGCCTTCCTGGAATGTGATGGATTGAAAAAGAAAGAAGAAGATCCTTTTTCCTCGGCTCAGTAATCATTCTAATGCCTTTGGTTCTAAGTGGGACTGGGCCTACCTTTGAAAGACACTGCCTTTGAGAAACTCATTCCTTTATATTCAGTGTGAGGAATTGAGTACTGGAACTTGTGTGAAAACTTCTCTGTAGGATGTGAGGGCGTGGAAGGCACCGTCCCTGTACCCCAAAAGTGTGTCATCTAATAAGGGATGGACTAAACTGGTGAGCTGAGAAGAGACAGAACCCACGAGTGCACAGAGGTCGTGGCCTGAACACGCAGTGTATTTTGTTCAAGAAGGCGCGCTGCGGAGGGAGGACAGGTCTGAGCATTCTTGTCACCCACGGGTCTGTCCCCAGCAGGCAGTCAGCAACACCTACCGAGTCAGGGAATACAACCCCCAGCCCAGTCACCCGGCGGGGATGTCACCGTACGGTTCGCGGGCGGGTGGGGACTGGCTCGGGGAGGCAAGATTTGGGCGGAATCTTGAGGTGACTGCGTGCACGCCCACGCACGCGGGCTCAGACAGGACACGTGAGGGCACCGGATTGAGTGTAAGGTCGTGACCTTAGCCTAAAAACAGCAAAATACCTCCCCAGCCCCAGCATGTGTCCCCAGACCTAAAGACATCTCTCTCCTTGTCCTATAAAGTCGCCAGCTTTCAGCCGGGTAGACACCCTAGAAAATGAGTTGTTGGAGCAAGAGAAACGTCTTCTCTTGCAGGAGCGACACCTCCTGTTTCTAGGCGCGTGGGTGCGGCGCCGGCTTTGCTGGGGCGGCCGCGGGGTCTCCCCGCGAACGCGGGCTCCCCGGACCGCCGCGGCCACCTGTGCGCCGCTTCCACAGCCCCGCGTGCTGGCTCTGCCCTCGTTAAAGGGAATCCCAGCTCCTCCGGTGCTGACCTGCCGTCGCACGGTTTGCTGGTCTGGAGACCGCCCCGTCTCCGGGGATGCGTTTCCAGAATAAACCAGACGAGCAGCTCGGCGGGCTCGCGGGGCGGGAGCGGGAAGAGCCGCTGCCCTGGGTCCGCTCTGCCGCCCCACACGGGACGCGGGCCTCGGCGGCTGTGGCTCCGCGGCTGGGCGAGGGGGAGGCCTCACCCCAGAGGGATCTGTCGGGGGCGCCGAGGGCCGGGAGGCTCTGCTCGGGCTCCGGCTGCGCAGCCTTCGCGACAGGCCTCGGCTTCCAGCACCGGGATGCCGCAGTCTAGCGTGGCCCTTTCCCACGTGGGCTCGGGGATCCCGGCCCGCACGCACTCGCGCCGGTGCTCAGAAAGCTCACGGTCCGCCTCCACGCGAAGGCTGAGGTTTCGGTAGGAACCGCGAACCACAGGCAAGGTACAACCTTAACGGACCATCCCTCAAACCTAACCTGGTGTGTTAACTGAATCGCAGACGCCCCGGTGAAGCACTAGCAGGGGCCAAAGCTGCGCGTCTGCTGAAGTAAGCACAGTCCGCACCACAGAATCCTTTTAAACTTCACCTTTGAACCAAAACCTCATGGAGTCCCTGCCTCGGATGAACCTAGTTGTCTCTTTGCGGAAGGGGTGTGCTCTGAACTCAGCTCCGGGCCTCTCCAGTGCAAAAGGCCGAATTTCCAGTGAACTAACGAACTCCTTCATGTGTCTGTGATGCAGGTCCAGTACTTCTTCAAGATCCTGGACAACTCGGAGTAGAGAAAAGCAAAGAAGTCACAGCCGGAGCCATAGGACAAGAGTGAGTCACGCACGTGCGGAATGTGTTCATTCTTTTATTGTCCATTGTTGAACCTGACCGCATACAAGATCTAGAAGAGCACTGTACTCCTGGCAATTATTGTACATGTTGGAACATGGATTTTGCAGACAACATTTAACACCAGTCTAGGGGGTACTGCGTTGCTTTTTATAAAGTCCAAAATAAAGATTTATTTTCAAACAAGTGACTTTGGTTTATTTCATACATTACACTTTTTCTTGCAGAAAAAAATAAAATTGTACAACTGCATAAATATAAAATTCTTCCACCATGAAAATGGTTAAAACATTCATAAAGACACAGCACCAGCATGTGATGCCTCCAGAGAAAGGAAAAAAGGAAAATAAAAGAAAATGTAAAGCAAAAGAATTAGGCCCGTCACCAGCCCCAGTGACAGGCGATCCAGATCTCATACACAGCTGATCGTACTGGAGGACAAGGGAAGAGAGGTCAAGACGGCATTCGATACAAAGCACAACGCAACCCATCACCTTTCTGTGTTTTTCTGTCGTGTCACTTAAAATTTAAAGGGCAGTTCCCCCATGACAGCCCACCCCCACCCCCAGCCCCAGCCCCAGGAAAAAAACAAAACAAAACAAAAAGTAAAGACCCAACACCACGGGAAAAGACTATGGAGTGTGTTAAAAATGCTCATGGATGGGCCATTAGTTTTTGAAAGAGCCAAACCAAAAAGAAAAAAAAAAGTACCATGCCAGTTTTATTCCCATTGAATATTTACACCTTGGACAGCAAACCTTGCTCACATACAGTAGAAAACAGATGCGATAAACATGGCTTGAGAAATGACCAGAGTGTGCACCTACAGAACTGTACATCACATCAGATCCACAAGGCAGCAATACTCAGGGGCCGGAAACACTGCTTACTACGAGTCAGTTATGGAATCATAATTTACAGTAAAAATGGGCACGTCCCAAGGCTCAATTTTTATTTTTTTCTTTTGTCATTTACAGTAGAATAAATATTTTGTTGCTATTGCTACACTTTAAATTTACATTCTAACCTATTAAATGCAGAAAGCTAGTGTAAAGCATATAGATTAAGTGTAGGTCCCATACGTATGACAGTTTGTTCAAGACTAGTAGGTTTTTGTTTTTTTGTATCTTTTTTTTAACTTTTTAAATGGCTAGTGGGAAAGATCTGTGCTTGTGATCAGCTCTTAACTTCAATTTTTACATCAAAGCGTCCCTGAAAACGGTCTTTCTCACTGTACCCAATGTTCTCACCGTACGCCTTACACTCGATGCGGATTTCAGTGTCCATGGTGAGGTTGGTGAACTGCACGGCCAGCAGCGGCTGCAGGTACTTGGGCTGGAGCAGCTTGCCGTAGTAGGGGTAATACTGCAGAGGAAAGCCGGGGTAGCCGCCCAGGCCAAAATACTCCACGTTCCCAACTTTATCCTTGTCTTCGTCTCGCTGAAAACCAGAGAGAGAGGAGATTTTAGCGGCTGGCAGCCTGGGTCACTTCCCGAGGGACCACCGAGGCTCTCGATCCCACCAGACCGCCTGCGCACCGCCGCTGCTGCAGGAGACCGTCCACCCCCCACACGGCCGCTTGGAGCGCCTCCGGAGGCAGCTGCACGCCGGCCACGGGAGGACGCATGCTGGTCCCTCCCTGGCCGCCGTGGGAAGTGGTCATCAGAGGAAACTCTTCACGTGACACAGGTGAAGGACAGCAAAGGTCAACCAAGCATTTCCCCAAAGCCAGCACATCCAGAAAGGCACCTGCCACTGAAAGTCAAACCCACTGGTGCTGGGCCCCTGGGTGGGCCTCGGGCGACATTCCCCCCGGATGTCTAACTACTTGCCTCTCCTTTCCTTGCGTCCATTTCACTGCTTGGCATGTGCGTAAAACACACCGTGTAGGGATTCCCTTTAGTCGGCCCTCTCCTAAACAATCCGTTAGGATCCTATTTTTAGGTCTAAAGGGAACACGTACTACCTTATCTTTCATTATTTCTTATTTTTGAAAGAAAAGCCAAAAACTGGGGCACCTGGGTGGCTCAGTCATTAAGGCTCTGCCTTCAGCTCCCGTCATGATCCCAGAGTCCTGGGATCGAGCCCCACATGGGGCTCCCTGCTCGGCGGGAAGCCTGCTTGTCCCTCCCCCCCCCCCCCCCGCTTGCCACGACACCTCTCGTGGACTCTTTCAAATAAATAACAACAACAACAAAAAACTTTAAATTAAAAAAAATTAAAAGAAAAGCCAAAAACACATTTTTCAACGTGAACTTGTCAAAAAGGGGGGGGGGGGCGGCCTTAAATCCTGAACACGCCAGGCGGCTACAGAAGCATGTGTGGCTGGCGTTCACCTCAGTTCCGGAAACCGATACTCCTGCTAAGGCGGTTTCGTGCTCGGTGGAGGAAGGACGTGTGGTTTCGCTGCTCACGTCTTCGTCCCGAGACGTTCTGGCCGCGGAGCCACGTGCCTGCTGGCCCCGGTCAAGTTTTCCCTCTAACGGCAGCGTCGCGCACACGCGCCCCCCCGGCCCGGGCCGCGGCCCCTCACCTTGCCCGTGCACTGGACCGGCAGGACGTAGGGGCTGTACTTGAGCGCCGGGTAGGCCTCCAGGGACTCGTTCTTGGGAGGCTGCAAAGAAGAGCGCACGGTCAGTCCGTCCGCCACGGTCCCCGTCCCGCGCACGAAGCGCGTGTGTAGCATCCACAGGCCCCGCTGCTCGCGGAAACGCAACCCCAGTAACCACACACTCGAGGGTGCGAGAACCAACGACCCCCTACCCGTCCGCGCTGGGACCTGGCCCGGCACCCCGGGGAGCACGGACCCGAGAGCGGGAACGTGAGCGCCGGCGCGGCCCTTCTCGCGGGCTGCGGTGCGACCGTCGGAAGGACGAGTCGTGGACGTTTCCGTCCCACAAAACCCGGACTTGCTTCCGCGAACCGCATCCTCCGCCCTCACGCGGGGCTCGAGCAGCTTTTCTTCTGGGCCCGAGTCTCGGCAGAGCTGCGGCCGCGCGGGCAGCACCGCAGCTCCGGGAACGGGTCCGACGCGCGGGCAGGTCGGGCTGGCGACGGCCCCAGGACAGCGGCCGCGCTCCGGAAGGTGCCGCTTTCTTGGGGCCTCGGGGGCCCCTGCGGCGCCGGCTCAAGTGCACCGGGAAGGGCACGACGGGCACCGCCGCCCGCGGACACGGCCCCTGCGCGTGCGAGTCCCGTCGGGGAACCGCAGTCCGCCCCGAGAAGCGCCCGCGCTGCAGCACGCGAGGTGGCCGTGCGGGGCCCCTAGACGGTTCCAGCGGCCGCAGGTGGATCCTCGAAGACGGGAGACGATGCTCACCGCCGGCATCTGTCCTCGGGGGGGGGAGGGAGACCAGCCGCCGGGGGTGCGGGACGCCACAGCCGGGAAGGAAGTGATCCGGCGACACCGGGCGGGGCCGAGGGGGGTCCGGGGTGAGGACTCGGAGGCGGGACGTCAGCCGGCGGAGCCACGGGAGAAGGACCGGGAAGCGCGAGGGGCTGAGCGCGTCACTCGGCGGATGCGGGAAGGGACGGGAACCCGCAGGACCACTCCTGGGGGGCAGGCGGGGGACGGTCCGAGGAGGAAACACCGTCACCAGCGAGGGACTCAGCGGAGACCGGACCATCGTCCTCCGAGTGACCGGCGGTCCCGCCATCCTCCTCCGTCGGACCCTAATCCCGCGGCCAGCAGGGCCTTCCTGGCGAGGGCGGCTGTCGCCTGCCCGTGGGGTCCCCGTCCGCCCGCACGCCCGGCTCGGCCTCGGGTTCCGGGACGGGGTCAGGCCTGCGCCGGCTCAGCTGGAACTTCTGGCCGCAGCGCCGGGTCTCCGGGTCACAAGCGCTGGGAGCCGAGCGGGGCGCCCGCAGATGGTGAACCCAAGAGCCGGTTCCGGGGAGATGCCGAGCTCGGGGGACCGTGCGGTCCGCCCCGTCACCACGGAAGACGCGACGGCTGTGTCGCGGGGGGGGGGGGGGGGGGGGGCTCGGGGAGGAGGATGGCGGCTCTACCCCCGCCGGAGGACCCGGACGCGGCTCCGCGGAAGCAGCGGGGGCAGCAGCGCACGTTCCCTCCTCGCGTCACTCCCCGCGCAGCAGAGCGCGGAGGACGACGAGCGGCCGTCGGACAAGCGGCCGTCGGACAAGCGGCCGCCGGACAAGCCGCCGCCGGACAAGCGGCCGTCGGACAAGCGGCCGCCGGACAAGCCGCCGCCGGACAAGCCGCCGCCGGACAAGC